GGAATTTGGTTGACAGACTAGACGTTAAGGGTGCCATACAATGTTAATAATAGCTTAATAAAATTTAATTGGAGATTTTACTTTTTAAAACACTTTCTATTTTGGATTGAAGAGCAAGCATAAATGCAACAAATACGTGCATCAATCCTTTGAAAAAGAAACACATGTAAATGTGTAATCTACAAATGCAGATTATAAGCAAATACTACAAATGTAGCATTAAATATTATTTTATTCCAGATTTATTAAAAAATACTACTAGACCTGTCTCTGTATCAGAATTAAGATTACAAAATTGTGGAGCACCACAAATATTACTCCTGCACATATGCATATAATGATATTGGTGAAGAGTATCATCTATCCTTTATGAACTCATTGAATGAATTTAGTACTGAAGAAAGTTAGCACCCACCCCCTCTCCTAGAAAAATGAAATATTTTAGGAAATATTAGAAAGGCAGAATATTATATTTCTCTGGATGAGAAAAGGAGAAACATATTTTAAAGACAAAGCAGCTCCCTTTCCCCCCCCCTTCAGCTCCAGGGTGATGGGATTAAGACATGGCCCTCAGGACATGATAGGATTAGCCCTCTACCCATCTTGCAACAGAACTCACCACATGGCACCTGGGGAGATTGCATCACTCAGCAAGATTCAACCAAGCATGGGACTCAAGACAACCTACAAAGTTACCCCTGCATGGCCCCATGAAAGTCTGACAACCAATCAGAATACATTTCTTACACAGGAACAGGAAGCTCCAAGGCGGGGCCCAAGAGAGGGTATAAATCTGTCTCTCCCATGTACTCATTTTTGTCCAGGATTTCAAACCATGTGGTCCTGTCCACCATTAAACCATCTTTCCAAATAGCCAACATGTTTCCAGTGTCTTTCCCCCAACTTGGAACTGAACCCAGATGGACATTTCATCCAACAATTTGGCACCCCAGATGGGACTCCAAGCTAACCTGATGGACCTTGCCTAGGTAAGCCTCCCTTGTTGGCACAGACCCATTGAGTCTGTGGGTGAGTTTTCCTGGAGCTTGGCCATTTGGAACAAAGGTTTTAAAAGGGTTTTGAGTGTTGGGCTCAAAGGCTGCTTGGAAAGAAGGCGAGTACCTCTAAATTTTAATTTTTAGTCCAGAAAAGCATGAGAAGTGTGTGTGTGAGAGTGAGGGGATCCTTCTCCCAATCACAGCTGGATCTTGCTTCCTCTGTGTTGTACCAAGAGAGCCTGGAAAGTATATGAGGTCAGGACAGAGCACAGGACCTGTTAGGGAAAGGAGAAAGAGTGTGTGGAAATGGAATGGAATAGTGAATGAGAGAGTTAAAGTTGGATAACCAGCGGGGAAGTCACTGAACAAAAGCCCTGTGAGAGGAAAGGGCTCTTACCTCTGGAAGCAAGTAGAGGTCCTTCCAGACTCTCCTGAGTCCAAAAACTGTGAGCGAGAGAAAAGCTGGTGACAGGAGGTGTCACTGTGGGGGCAGTGCAGTCCTTCCAGACACCTTTTTTGGTCTGAGAACTGCTAGGCAGGAGAATTCCTACAGGATGTGTCCATGCTCTGATAGGGAACCAGAGTCCTCCCGGATCTCTTTTTTTGATCTGAAAATTGCTGGAGGGGCGGTTGTCTCAGTAGGAGACTCAGTTCGCTGGCACCTGGCAGAGCCAAATTGAATTCCTACATAGGAGGGGAAACATGGGATGCTCTAGCTTGAGGGTCATAGTAGGCTCCCCAATGAAAGACTTGTTTGATGCCTGGGATGAAAAGAGGCAGTTACCTGTCCAGGTGGGCATGACAAAAGAAAAAAGAAAAAGGATGTGTAACAAGTGGGCTTTGCTCAGGGATGAAGCTGGAAAACCAATTTGGCTAAATAGAAAGAAAAGGAAAGGGAAATATATAAATAGGAATGTTGGGGCTTTTGTTTGTCTTTCTCTCTGTCTTCCATGCAACCATATGATATGTTTGTTAAGATTTGTCCTTTCCTAATTTAACTGAGATTTATGGTGGGAATGAACAGCCTGAGAGTTCTGTTTTCCTCTCTTTTTCCTCTTTGTTTTTTTTTTTTGTGTGTGTGTGTGTGTATGTCTAAGTCTTTGTGTGCCCTCGAGGTAATTGCAACTGTTAAATGTTTCTGATCCCTAGAAATATGAATCTTAAATTATTAGAAAAGAGTTAAAAGCACTGAAAAGAAAGAAAAAGCCTTCATTCTGTTTTGTCTGGCCAGCAGAACAGGGTAAAGAGAACTTTTTTCCCCTTTCCTCTCTGTACTTTTAAGAAAAGTCCAAGTTTAAGAGGGAATGTTTTAAGTTCACTTACAGGAAAAGTTTCTGCATTTACAGTGTGTTTAAATGATTTCATTGGTCCATCCTTTTCCTGAAGCATGTGAATCCAGTTTTTCTTCCTCATCTGTGATGTCTCCATTTTGTTATAATTACTTTAACTGTTTAATAACTGTAGTACTGATGTCCCCCCCCTCAAACTCTGCCTGCAAGCTATCTACCCCCCAGTCTACCCCCCATCTCTAATTCTCCTACATGCCTTTCCTCACCCACAAAGGGGGGAGGGCCCCCTGTTCTCATGTCTTTCAGCCTTGCAGAGACAACTCTGCAACCTGTGGAAGTACAACACACAAATCCAGATGCTGCCTCCAGAGACCTTCCATTTATTTGAGCCAGAGAATTGGGTTTGGGTAGGGGTCCAGCCTCCACTAGAAAGTCATCACAGCAACCAGTGTGAAGCAGACCTTCCAAGCGTGACTGACCACACTTATCACCAAGCCAAACCTAATGCCACCCAGCAGGCATGAAAGAGAGGACCCTGAGATTGACCAGTAAAGACTAAAGGCTGTTTTCAATCCCCAAAAGACAGCTGTAACGACTATGGAGGGAAGGTGAAAATTCATTGTAAGGTTTTTCTGTGCTTCATTCATAATCAGTTAAATGGATTCTTGGAGAGATTGCATTTGGGATTTGTGCTTGCTTGAAACCTGACTGTAAGCTCACAGTGTGATATCTAACATCTGAAAATGATTGGCATAGAAAATTGGATACTGTAAATTTCCTTCCAGAACTTTTCCCCTGGCTGCTAGACTTTCATGGTTGAAAGCTCTCCTTTTGGGAGCCACTGAAGGAATCTTTCCTCTGCTGCCTCTAGCAATGCCTTCTCCTTTGCATCAGAAAAATTAAAAGCACCCATCGAATCTCCCTGATCAGATCAATTCCTAATCTTGGGCCAGAAAAAGTGTTCAACCCACACTTTTATGGCCCAAAGGTGGGGATTGAAGAAAGTTACCACCCACCCTCCTCCTAGAAGAATGGAAGCTCCAAGGCGGGGCCCAAGAGTGGGTATAAATGTCTCTCTCCCTCTCTCTCTCCCATGTACTCATTTTTGCCCAGGACCTCAAACCATGTGGTCCTGCCCACCATTAAACTATCTTTCCAAATAGCCTTCATGTTTCCAGTGTCTTTCTCCTCACTTGGAACTGAACCCAGATGGACATTTCTTCCAACAGTACAACCGCAATTTGTATGTCTAAGAATACACAAAGTCATTACAAGCATAAAATAGTCATAAAGATTATATTCTCGGAGAGGTATTTTAAAAAATTCTGTTCCAGATTATTACTCATAATACTTGTGTTTGCAAATAATCCAAGGTAAAGCAACATCACTTCTTGTATTATTTTTTTGACGTGAAGGGAAAACATGAAGGTTGGTAAACAATCATTATAACTGGGAAGCTCAAAGACATGAATGAGTAAGAAGAAACAGTGTAGCTGCGGGGAAGAAACTCCACTCCGGGTTTTTCTGGTCGCTTTCTGAGTGACAGATTGACATCACTGGAGGCGTGAGGAAGGGTTGAGGTGGGGGCTCTGTGCTGAAATGCTGCCGTGCGGAGTTTAGCTCATTCTGAAACAGCTACGCTCGCGCACAAAAGAGCCTGCAAAGTGATAGCTGCAGCGGGCAAAGTCAAGCAACTGCCGTCTCTTCGAGCAGGCGACTTGGATTTAATTCTATTCCCGTGGGATTTAATTTAAGGGAACGGCTTCCAACCTTTGCATTCGGTAATCATGATCTGGAGGTTTTTGCAAGGCTTTCGGAAGTACCTCAGGTGTTGTGTGTGTGTGTGTGAGAGAGAGCGAGAGAGAGAGAGAGTCATTAAATGCGCGCGTCTGTAAGTGGGTGCAACCAACTTCTGCTTAAACGCTGCCGGCCGTTTAAAATAAATTGATACCAGTATTTACCAGTATTGGCATTCGTGAGTTTTTGATGGTTTAACGATCTGCAAAACTACCCTTAATAAGTAAAGCAGCTAAGTTGTTTCAAATTCAGGGACTCTTTGGGGAGGGGGGATTTAAGAATGCCAAAAAAAAAAAAAAGGCAATTCGCCATTTGTTCTCCCTCCGCGAAATCCTTTTGCAACCTTTGTACCTTTTCGGGTTACACGGGTGTTCAACTCAAACATCCAACTGCGTGCGTACGCGTGTGCACGTGAGAGTAGAGGTATAGTGACTCTAGAGCTACTCCTCCCTCTCTTCCCCCCCCCCCCGTGAAATTGGTGGTGCAATCATCCTGTCAACCAAGCTGCGCCAAGAAGCACATGGTAGCTTTGCTTCTTGCGTCTTCTGTTATGCCCGCGAGGATGTCTTGCGCCTCCTGGTTGCATTTTTTATTGATGTTGGATTTCCTCCCCTCCCCCAGGCATTTCCCTTGCACTTTGCCTCGCTTAAGGTTGGAGCGGAAAGCTGCGGGCCAAGGACCATGTGGTGAAAAGAAGGTTGGAGTCGAGGAAGTGGTTGGACTTATCTGCTACACGCGCGCCTGACTGGGAGGGGAAAATCTGCGCCTCCAAAGGGGGAGAAAAAAAAAAAAAAGAAAGAAAAAGCTCCAACTTGGCGGAAGACAGGAGGGAGAATCGAGCGTGCCGCAGCAAGCTTGGTTCACGAAAAGGCGGCTACTCCTTTCTGGGTTTTTTTTTTCCCCCTCTTCCCTTCCTCCCCCCCCTTCCGAAGTCGTTCGCCGTTTAGGAGCGACCCTCTCTGGGGCTGTTGCGGATGCGGCGTGTGATGGAAAAGCCGTAGCTCGAATTTGCAAAACCAGTTCGGCCTCTTCTCCTACCGACTACCGAAGAAACCTCGTTGGGATTTGCTCTTGGGAGAGAATTTCCCGAGTAACGAGTTGCAGGGCAGGGGCGCGCAGTGTAAGCAGACACCCCTTTGGATGTTGGTGTTCGGAAGGCGAGCTGTTTGGGGGGGCCAACGAGTCGGGGTGCCTTTCGTTCGAGGACCAGGATTTTGCGAGCGCTCGGCGCGAGTCGACAGAAGGCGAAGAGAAACAAACTTGGCCTCTCGGATCCGACGACAGCTGGAGAGCAAAGGTTGGGGACGGGGGGAGCCGAGAAGGTTTTCGCCCTCTGGAATGAGTTTTCCTGCGCTTTAAGACTTCTCGGATCCTCGCACGCTACCTTATGGATCTAACTTAGCAGGGAGGTGCCTTCACGCGGATTTGCCATTCAAAAACGTAAGTTTGTGCCCGTCCCCTTTCTTGTCCTAACTTGGCTTGCAAAATGGATTCTCGCTGCCTTTTTTTGCACGTGTGGCGCTCAAGTATTCAGCAGGTGCCCTGGCATTTCCCTTTCCTAGCAGAGGAGTTTTCTGTGGGCCCAGCTTGAAGGGGGGGGGGGGGAGAGCCGAGGGTGGCGCTGCGGTCGCTGGAGGGCTCGTTTGGATAGATTTCCTTGGCTTAAAAAGAGGCGGCTTCGATTGTCTTCCAGCCCAGATTTGCTGGGCTCTGAACTTGTGGCTTCGGACAAGGCATTTAGGCTTGCATGTTATTGTAAGTGGGGGCGGCTGGATCGAAGGGTTAAGACCTGCCGACCTTTGCTGCCAACTGCTTCGGTGGAGAAGTATGCCCTTTTTCGACCGTTTAGAGATGTTTGGTGCCAATGCCTGGTCTTTAAGCCTCTGCTCTGATGTCCTTTGATAGCATTTGGCACAGGTGACACTGGAAGGAAATCATTTTGGATTGTTTTTCCCAGACAAGATGAGGCCGGAATAAGTGACCAGGTTGGGTCTTACTTTTACTATTACTGTTGTATTGCATGCGTGCACATATGTTTCTGGAAAGGGTTCTGCCCAGCCCTGTCAGAGTTCCCTTGTTTATTCTCAAGAGTAGAGATAGGGTTCAGAGAAGGGAGCATAACAATTGTGTATCTGTTTTGGCCACATACTGTAGGGGTAAAAGAGATTTTTTTTAAAAAGTGATTGGATTATTTTTTTTAATCACACGAATTAGAGCTCTACTCTGCTATATGCAGTTCTTCTGATGTAAAGTGTGTGGAGGACAGGTGGATGTCATAATAATCCCTACTAATTCTGTGGATTTTATGCCAAGAGCAGGGTCAAGTTTTTGCTTCAAATGGTTTACTAAGTAATCCCCAACACTGTTTTTTCCCCCTAAGAACGCAGATCTTAAAAATATGTCTTGCGTGTGCATGAACTATGTGTAGTCAATAGTGGAGGGATTTTCCCTTGCAATATGGGCGAGATTCTAGTGGGTCACTGAAGAGGCATGGAGGCTACAAGGAGGAAATGGTGTTTCAGGCAGAGATAAAAAGGCTTCCCCGCCCTCCCCCACCTTCTTAGAAATCATTGAAGGGAAAAGGGAGGGGGGAATCCCTGCATGCTCAAACTAGCACACACAAATCTTCCATATTTGCCTTGAAAGGTAGGGGAGGCTGTGCAGCTTTAAGCATTGGAAAGTCCGCCCCCCTGAGGTAATAGTAACCTTAGCCGATTCCCCTCCTCCTCTGCAAATGGGGGTGAAAAAAATCCCTTGTTTTCATTCATAACTTTTTCTTCTTCCATCCCAGCTCTGCATTCACTGCTGCCTCTTGAGCTCAGATTGCATGTGGGCAGTGCAACCACTGCCTCACCAGTCTGCTGCTTCTCCGTTTCTCTCAAGTCCACGCAAAGCAGATTTTTGTAGAGCTTGTTCACCTTCCTACCATTTTGAAGGCTAGTAATGAACTAAATCAAGAATCATGTCAGGCTTTGTCCCACAAAGCACGGGGATCCTTAAGATTTGAAATCATTAAGACTTAAAACTATAAATAAAAAACCCCCTGATTTTTAGTATTAGTTGTATGCTTATTGTTTAATAGAAAAGCAGTTGTCTGTTTTTTAAAGACTTAATCAGGCTATAGCATTCAAAACATTTTTGAAAATAAGTACTTTGCTCCAAATAATTTACTTCCAAATAAACTCCACTTTTTAAAAAAGGAACACAATTTCATTCCATCTTGCTGTTTCTTGGGCAAACTTAAGACTTTTGAATGCCACAACTGTAGAAAAAATAATCTCATTTCCAGACTTTTCTTATCCCAGTAGTATTTTTTTGATAATTTATAGAATTTTATGGAAATTTTATTTTGTGGATTATATTTGTATTTTGGCCTTTGGTATGTGTGTGGGTGTATAACAATGTGTTTCCGTAAGTATGTGGAGAGTAGGGTAGCATTTTTGCTGGAAATCAGTTACTTAATTTGTATAATTACTAAATGGTAAGCTTCCGTTTATAATTATACTACCACAGTTTCAAATGCTGTAGCCCAATTTCTGACTTCTGTTTGGCCTTTCAAAGCAGCTCACAACATGATGTATAAGATGCATACAACTTAAATGATTTTTTAAAAATAATGTAGCCTATGTTAAAGCAAAATATGTGACTTGCGATATTTAGTTCCAATTTTTTTCTCAGCTGTAAACTTTTAGCTTTTTTGTACTGAGGTTTGATGAAGAATCTTTGCACACTGAAAGTTTGTGTGAAATTTTGGCCATATTGGTCAAGTGCTGTGCAACATTATCATTTATTTTACACTTATTAACTCAGGTGAGAAATTATGGGGATATTTTTCCAAATCATGCGCTGTATCCCATTCAAAATTGTCATTGTCAGAAATTATTGTTTCTCTTTATATAGAGCACTTTCCATAAAAACCTGTGTTAATTATTGTCACAGTAGTCTCAAGAAAGCAAATACGGATTCAAATTTCCCTTTCACCTTTCTTTTAATATTCAAATCTTGTCTGCTGTATGCTTTTTTCATGACATATCACGCTCAGGACTTTTTTTTTCCCCTAGTGTCTTGTTTATCCAAAGAAATGCACGTACATTTGCAAAGATCTGATAAATGTATTGGGTTATTTGCTTATCTTCTCCTGATATCCTTTCCTTCCTCTACCTCCTTTCACACCCTGCATTAGGTGCATGAGCACTTGGAAAGATGTTGTGTAACAGGATGTGTTTACATCTGGTGTTTTGCTCTAACAAGCACTAGACTTTGAATGTATGTATGTGTATACATTATATAAATGCACACTACCCAGAAATGATTCACATACTTTTCCCATTGGTAATTGGCTTGAGGCATCATGGAATTACAACTAAAAATACTGCTATGCTGACAGTGTTTAAAATAAAGAATGGTCTTAGAATGCAGCTTTGACAAGTAAAACTGACTACCAAAAATCCAATTAAGAATTTGCATGTCTCCTTTTGTTTAGAATTTGAATGTCTTCTATCAGTCTTCCATCTGATAGAAACCTGGTGTGGCTTTGCATGTTTTATGTTGCAATTTGCTGATAATTGGTGGCATGGAGCAGAAGTAATTATACTACTTTTGCGATAGTATGTGAGGCAGTAAAGAATTGACTTTTGACCAAATGCAATGGAAACCATAATATATATGTATAGTGTCATAATATTATACTTAAAAAGGAAATGACATTACAATTTACTAAAAAGCAAAATGCTTGTTTTTTAACCACAAGAAGACTTTCAATATATTTTGTTTATGTTGTCATCTAAATTGGTATACACTTTGGTGTGTCTAACTCAGGGTAATTCCCCATCTGTCGCTATTATGATATTGGGGCAATATTGTGGCTTGTTGTAAAATGTTTCATTTCTTTTTCCCAAAACTTCTGGGAATTTATTCCTCTTTCCAATTTTCTCCCTTTCTTTTAGGATTTCAGATGCATGCCCAGTTCCTGGTGAATGCCAGAATTAGAGACCACTACCGATGGAGTCCACAGGTCAGCATGGAAACAGCAGTTCGTTAGTTGTCCATCAGCAGCTTTTTCTGGACAATCGGCAAAGGTTGGACTATGAAAGAGATATTCAGCCAACTGCCATTTTGTCACTGGACCAGATCAAGACTCTCAGGGGCAGCAATGAATACACTGAAGGTCCATCTGTGGTGAAAAAGTCTGCTCCCCGGACAGCTCCAAGACAAGAAAAACATGAAAGGACTCATGAAATCTTACCAATAAATGTGAATAATAATTATGAGCCCAGACCCAACCATCCTGGACATGTGCTTCATCAACATAACTCAAGGGTTCCTGTTTTGAGCAGATCTACAAGCACTGGAAGTGCAGCTAGTTCTGGAAGCAACAGCAGTGCTTCTTCAGAGCAGGGCCTTCTATTAAGATCACCACCATCAAGGCTGGGCCCGGGTCAGAGATTTGAAAGGCCAATCAGGACGCAACCCAAACCATCATCTTTGATTGTAGATGACCTGAAGAGTCCTTTGAAAGAGGATTCTACTCAACATAAGTTCATATGTGAACAGTGTGGGAAGTGCAAATGTGGAGAATGCACAGCACCCAGGGCCTTGCCTTCTTGCTTGGCCTGCAACAGACAGTGCTTGTGCTCAGCAGAAAGCATGGTGGAATATAGCACCTGTATGTGTCTGGTCAAAGGAACCTTCTATCACTGTTCCAATGATGATGAAGGGGATTCATATGCGGATAATCCATGTTCATGCTCCCAGTCACATTGCTTGTCACGGTACCTGTGTATGGGGGCCATGGCTTTGTTTCTGCCTTGCCTGCTCTGTTACCCTCCTGCAAAAGGATGCCTAAAACTGTGCCGTGGGTGTTATGATTGGATGAATCGTCCAGGATGCCGATGCAAAAACTCCAATACAGTTTATTGTAAGCTGGAAAGTTGTCCATCAAGGGGTCAAGGCAAGCCTTCCTGATTTCTGGAGGGAAAGATTCAGTTCCTCAGACACCATCTTTCAGATAGTGGCTGACTTTTCTGTCTTCATACCCCTTTTTTCTTTCATGCCCAAGATCTTCTCTCACTTCTATTGCTTATCTCAATGAAGGGCAAATCTGAATGCATTGGTCTTTGGTAAGTGTGGCTCATGTGCTGGTGTCTTTTTTCATCTTGGCAAGTCATCTCAGGACTCTGAGTAATAGACTCCTGAAAGAAGTAATGAGGGTACTGGGTTTTTTCTGAAGTCCTTTATTCTGCAAACAACTTTCCAAAGATGCTCTTTTGTTTTGTTCTATTTTTAACTACCTTTAATGACATTCAAGTGTTTTTTTTTTCAACTCTTCCCATTCCTCCTTTTTAAAAAAGGCTGCACAATCCAGTTATTTCCCTTAAACAAAGTGGAAAGGAAAGAAAAGAAATATGGGTTGAAATTTAGCAAACCTAAGTCTTCTCCCTCCACTTTTTTTTTAAATTAACCACTTGCATTTTGCTTGTTCCTTGGCCACTATTTTTGTCAGTCCAGATTTTAAACATTTACCCTCATTGCCCCTATTACTGGTTTCTTCATAAGCTTCTATTGTTTTCAGATATAGATATAGCTTGCTCTTTATATATATATATATATATATATATTTACATACATATATATACAAGCCCTATCTGTCACTTTTATTTTGATACTAAAGTTGGTTTCTCCAGCTCTGAATAATACAGGTAGTAATACAATTTAAATTGTATAAGCTGCCTTTGATTTCTTAACACTTCTATTTCTGTGGTTTAAAAAGTTTAACTCGTCCTCAGCTCAGTAACTCTCCTCTCTATTGCCTTAGCCACATATTGTGGTGCTTTTTGTATATTTTATGTAAAATCACAAAGTTGAATTCTGACTATTTTTAAGACAAAGGTCTGTTAAAACTTTTTTATTGTAAAGAATATTTATTATGTAAATCTCTATTATTTTATGATATTTATTATAAAAAACTGTTCCAAAAATGTATTCCTGTCTGAATATTACAAAATATCAACATTTAATGAAAATAAGAGTGACACAAGGATGTATGTTAAACTATAATGCAGAAAATATAATAATTAAAATGTCTTGGGTTCTTTATTTGTTAATAAAACTGTTTGTTCTTAGCAGTATTAGAAGAAAGACTGTATAGTCCTTTACCACTTTTCTTGGAGATAGGCCCACTGTACTCAGTGGGACTTCACTTCTGAATAGGCTTGTATAGGATTTCATTGTAAGACCACTGCCACTTATTTCTTTTCTGAAGTTTTCATGACTGTGAAATCATTTTTAAAAAAATAATAATCAGATTTTTTCTCTGAAGTGTTTTTCAGCATTGATGTATCTTGCTCATTTGAAAACATACACACCTCAAGCTATATTTGTGCAACTATAGAGTTTTTCATAGACTATACATTGATTTTCATTCTTTTTTGTTTTTGAGAAGATAATTTTTCTAAGGTGTGAAAATGAGATACCAAACATTAATAAAAGTTTGGGAAAGAAAAATGAGAATTCCTAAGTACCTCATTTTTCAAATTATGTTCATGGTTTTTCCTCAAAAGATTAAATCTGTTTCCAGAATTAAGAATAAATGATTATTGTGGACCTATTTGGTGCATACTATATTAATAAAATATATTTAATTGAATTGATACCACTGAACCTGTTAGCTGATGTTCTTCACACTGGTTGTCTTGCATCTAAGCTGCTTACAAGGCATTTTAAAAATAACATTACCATAATGAAAGTGCTTGCTTTCTCTAAAATAACCAAGCATGCCTGTCCATATTTAGAAATCCTGTGTGTTATTTAACTACACTATGCGTGGTATAATTCAACCAGCTTAATAAAACACATTTATTTTAAAACTTCTAAATAAAAAACAAAGGCAATAATATAGTGAGCTTTGAAGCTTTCAGGTGAATCTAGTTTTTAAACTGGCTCATTATGGTTCTCTTCTAGCTTCCTAATGATTACACAGAGATTTAATAAGAATTAGCGTAACCATTTCTCTCTTAGTGGTGTTCTGAGCCCTTTGCCACAATTATGCATAAGGACATAGCATTCACTTGTATCATCTGGGACTAGTGATACCTGACATGTTTATATAAACTGCCTTCATTACTGTGCATTTTTCATGAAAATATGTTTCTGCACAATAGTTCTTTTTGGTTTGTGTCAATAAGTACACTGTTGATCATGCTCTCTTCATTCATGTGGAGGATCTGAGTAAGTTCAGCTCTTGTGATAGAAGCAAAATAGGCTCATGCAGTGTTTTTCTTTTCACTGAATTATTAAAAACATTTATGTAAAAACACTCACTGTATGTTAATCACTCAACATCAAAGCCTTCCCTTTTGTGCAAGGAAAAGTCAATTTATTGAGTACTGATATTTTATCATTTGATTTCCCTCTGTCTTGATATCTCACACCAGCACTTTAATTTAACAAAGGCAAACTCAAAGTCAAGATCAATCCATGATGAATTCCTCTGGATGTGTTTCTGTTTGCGGAAGAAGGGGTGAAGAAAAAATTACCCCACTTCAAAATCTTTGGTTTATCTAGTCTTTGCACTTTCTTTGAATATAGTAGAATATTCCAATCTTTGCATACAAACTTTTGTGCCCTGGTTTTATCAAAATATTTAATAAACATAGACTTATTTCCAGTTTTCTGGTAGCTTTTTTTTTTCCAGAAGAAAACACTTTTTTCTAAGGGACTGTGATTCTAGGTGGTCTGACTATGTGTAGTGAATTTTTTAAAATTATTGCCCTGCTCTGTTGTATCTGCGAAAGGTGATGTTTCCTATAAGGTTGTTATTTTGCTACTTTTATTGCTTTATAGAACTTAACACAAAATCCCATCCTTTTCCTTCCCTTAGAAATGCACAAAGAAACACTGGCCTTGTAGTGGAGTTGCATAAGTATTGGTCTAGGAAGCATTCTGAGCATGGATAGAATTGCCATATATGCAGCTTTTTATTCAAGTACTGTAATCTCACTGTTGTAAAGTTGGCCTTAAAGTAGCCTTAATATACTAAGGCTAGCTTAAGGTCTTATACATCATCAGTTAATGGGTCTTTTGATTTTGAATTGATTTGTTTCAGGGAGAAGTTACTGATTCAAGAACTGATTCTGGCTATGTATATGAAACATTAAAACGATCTGCAATATACTATGTGATGTAACCATACAGTTCGGAAAAGTGTCAAATTATATGCTAGTGGTATTGGGACATGGCATGCCATTTCCAGTTCCAAAACCACAGTCTACTTTGCCTGGAAAAGTAAACATGTGACATGTTCCCTATTATATCAGACTAAACGATAAGCCTATAACTTCTAAACGATAAAAAAGCTCATGTACATTATAAAGTTTGGATTTGAAGTAGATTTCTTTCAACGTGATTAAAACAGACATTGTCAACATTGACCATTCAAAATTCTAAGAGTTTGTGTGACCCTCTCCCAAGTAAAATAATGAATTCCTATGTGTTAGGGTTGGACAAGAAACAAATGCTCCACTTTTAATCATTTATTCACAGGCTTTTTAAACATTGAATTGCCATAACTAATCTGAATGTTTGCATAGATATCACGAGGAGCAAAGCCTAAGTCAGTTTTGAATGTGTTTCTGCTTTGTCAATCTATCAAAGTTTTAAAAAAAATATATACTCACCTCTAAAATTGCTCTTAACCTCCCAAAGATTCTTAACCCATAATTTGAGAAGCCTGGGATTACAGTAAATCAAAGATCTTTTAAAACATTCCAGCTTCTGGATACTAGGTGGGCATGTCTAAAGTTACTTTTTGTGAGATGTGTGGCCATATAAATAAGATGAATGGTTTTCTTGACAATATAGAATAAGGCTTATTCTGTCTTGGTTGGGAGGATGTGGGAAAAGGATATACAGTCTATATGTTTCTGTTTTCTGGTAATCTCCCACAGTACAAATCATATGGTACCATATTTATCTTCTGATTTTAACTACATTTAGCTTGGAATTATCACTTGCTGAGGACAATACATACCGAATATGATTTATAATACCTAAAGTATATGGTTGAATTTTCAGATGGTTGAGCTGGCTGAGGAACTCTGGGAGTTGAAATCCACAAGTCTTAAAGTTGCCAAGGTTGGAGACCCATGATCTAGATATTGTTGTGCTTTTAAAATAGCAATACTACAGGCTTTAAATTGTCTCAACCATGAGAAGGATGTGCTAGAAGACACAAGAAATGGTTTTAGACTCATTGAAAGTCAAAAGTAAGAGGTTGATGGCATCCATACTATTCAGTTTTGAAGTTTGAAATACATGCACATATAAAAATGCTGTTATCTGAAAATAGATTCTAGAAGAAGGAATCCACTGGATCCAGCCATTTTAATTCATTGTTCAACCCGTTTTAATTCATTGTTCAAGCATGGTTTTCAGGTTCCTGAAAAATCAAGCTTTAAAAAAACTATTTGCAATAATATTTATTATTTGTTGGGGTTTTTAAAATCTAAATCTGGTAATTAAAGAAAAAGTTGCAATTGGAAGATATCTTTTAAATTTTTTCGCATCTGGTTTTATATGCTGATAATGTAGGAGGTTAAGTATCCTAACAGAGTCTGCAGTACACTGACAAAACTGGTTTGATATGAGTGTTGATCATAAGCTGAAGGGTAACAAGACCTTAGCTCTAGAAAATTTCCAATACACCATTCCAAATATTCACCATTTAAGAATATTTAAATTGATCCTGGGCTCAGAATGAATGACTCGGAAGACAATGAAGTGTATCTATATTGGTAGATATATTGCTTTCAAAAGATGCTAATGTAATTTTACATTACAATTCTTTCTTTTCCACTTAAAACCAGTTGATTGTAATATATATTGACTACAACCAATCAAGTTGGAGGAAGTAAATGTGCTACAGGATGACTTGAAAAATCAGTTAAGGCACGGATGTCAAACTCATGGCCCGTGGGCCAGATGCGTCACACGGTAGCCATGCCCACACCCTGTTTAGCGAAGGCGGAAACAGTCATGATACATCACGTGATGATGCCGTGACAACACAAGTTTGACACCCCTGAATTAAGGTCCTGTCAGAATTATTCTGCTCAGTATTATCCAACTAAATCACCTTTACTATTAATCTGATCAATAACTGAGTCAAAAGCTGAAGTTCCAAAGATGTGGTTATATTGCTCCTTTAAATCCGCAGTCATTGATTCTCCATGTTTGTTAATAATTTCCTACATCTGTCAGATATTTAAGTGGGTCATCACAATTTTCAAAAATGAGGTTTTTATTTAAATCAATTCCACATGTACTGCCTATGAAAGTCTTAGAATGGCAGCCTGGCTTCTGTGTGTCTATCAAATGGTATATATTCACATAAAGTGCGTTTATTAGCTCACTTTTAAATACATTTTAAAATTTACTTTCATTCCATAATTTTCATTATATATATTTACATGTGAAAACAGGGTCAAAGAACACTGGATTAAGGTATGATGGTATACCAGGGAAGCATAGCTATGGCAATTAAATTATATACCAAACTTTGGAAATTACAATCACTGTACTCACAAAACAAGAGCTAATCAAGTTTAGCATGCTTTATGAATGCAGCCATTCAGTGAACTAGATAAGTATGTCAAATATACTTAGGCCAGTTTTCTAGTCTGTAAATTTAAAAACCATGACACTGAATAATTTGAATGGCTAATATGTATCCCATGTTTTTGTTTTCAGTATTATGAACAATGGCATCCTGCATTAAAAGTAAAATAATACACTTTGGTATATTAGTTCTCTGAACTGTCTCATAATAAGCATTTCGAAACAATTCCTTAAGAAAACAAAACACAAACAGTTTCCCTTGTAGTACTTTTTGAATGCACCTGAAGATTGTCATAAAGGATTTTACCTATGTTCAACAATTGAGAATAAATAAGCGGAGGTGTTTGGATTACTTGAGAGCAATATTGAGTGAGGGGATACAATGTTTTTAATTTACTGTGTAAGAAGTCAGTGTTTCCAAGTTTGACATTTTTTAAAAGGTGTGGTGCTGGAGAACAGTAACATATTTAATGCTGCTTTCTGGTGCACGTGTTTTTGAAACTTTCTAAATGAAAAAGCTTTTATTTCCACAAATTTATTCGGTGGTCTTTCCAACAGATCTGCATTGGATTTGTAATGGGGAATGCTTGAGCAGGAATGTAGCCTTTTGTTACTATGAATAGTTAGGGCAGATTAGCTGTGTGCCAATTTCCTGTTGCCTTTCAGAGCTGCAATCTGAACCCTATTTGCTTCTGGCTTTTGCACAATAGAAAACAATGGGTGGCTTCATTCAGGTTTCACTTCAGAACTCTTAGGAATAGGGGAAGTGGCTAAAGCCCTACTTTACAGGTAATTAACAATAGATCATGTTTGCTTCCCTCCTCCTCCACTCTTTTTTTTTTAAAGACTCTGATAAAAGCTTAAAAGGGCTTCCTATATGCCAGTTTAAAGGCTTCAGGAAGTTCCTGTTGTTCCTGCCTTTGCATTAATACTTCCTACATTGTATAAGTCTTTGGAATTTGTTACACATGTATGCCTGAAAACACACATGGAAAAAAAAGCAAAGGCATAAAGCATCTTAGGAGCCTGCCTTTTTTCTTATCTCCAATCTTTTAAAAAGCTTTGGCTTATATATCAAACACAACACTTTGCAGTGTATGAATCATCTGGAAGAAAAAAACTTGTTTCAAATTTTAAGTTTAACGAATGTTCAGGCTTCCTTTTCAGGCAGTAGTCTCTCGAGGCAGCTTTCAGAATACAACAGCAAAATGATAAATAGCAAAATAATAAAGGTAGTCACAAAGAAACTCCCAGTCATGAAATATTAAAATATTTTTAAATAAAATAAAAAACATTAAAACTAGTAATCCTTTTCGGAACTGACATCCCGAGGTCAGATCAGCAGCAATGGATTGATTGATTGATTATGCCAATTCAAATCAATTTCAACACCTATTGATAGTATAGATAAATTTTCTCCATAACAATCTGTTCCCAAACCTGATCTTTTAGATCTTCCAATGACCCCACCCCCCCACATCACCACTGTTACTGAATCCATCCACCTTGCTGCTGGTTTTTCTCTTCTTTTCTTTCCTTCCACCTTTCTTAGCATTAGAGCCTTTTTCAGAGGGCTGAGTCTTCACATAATATGTCTTCTGGCTTTTAAAATAGCCTTTAAGGTCTAGATGTTTTGGAATATCTGTGGGTGGGGTCAGAGGTGGGCGCCATATAATGTAACAATTGGTTCACCCAGCACCAAAAATGTTAGCACGCCTTCCATGCATGCGCACGGCCTTCCGCACATGCATGCGGCTTCAAAAACACGGCAATATAGGACGGGATAGTGCCAGGACGGATAGTGCCGAGCCTACCCACCCACTGGTCAGAACTACCTGTTCACCTGAACTGGTCCAAATCGGCAGCAGCCCACCTCTGGATGAGGTGGTGTGTGATGGTTTAGTGGTTAAAGATGCTAACCTTGTAAGCTGAAGAGTTGACAGCCCTAGTTGAAATTCGCGTAATGTGGTGAGCTCCCGTTACTTGTCCCAGATCCAATACACCTAGTAATTCAAAAACATGCAATGTGAATAGATTAATAGGTACCACTTC